TCGTAGTTTATTCCGACGTCAAATCAATCTACTCAAGTTTAAAAATAACTGAGTCTTCAAATAAAAAAGGTTTCTCTCTAAATATACCTGTACTCAGCAGGGTGAAATAGTAAGAAGTAACTTTAGAAAAGTAATTTGGAAAAGTYAATGTTAACTGTGCAGTTATTAGTATAGGTAATAGGACTACATTGTCAGCTGTCCAATTTGAAAATAACTGGATGAAAAAATTCCGAGGACTGACAAAATTGGCCGAGTCTAATTTGGCAGTCAGAGAAATGTTTTGAATTCAATTATTTTGAAATTGGACAGACATGTATTCCTATTACCTAGGACAGAGAAATTGAAAAYAGTACAACAGTTGTTTGTATGGGATTATAGAATGATGATACAATTAAACTTGCAATTGTTGGGCATGAAAGATAGCTTGGAGTGAGCTTTTTTSAGACTATTATTATTATATTTTGGTGCCATGGTTGAGAACTGTTTTGCTTCCACTATAAACTATTTTTTTTTTAGATTTTCTTCCCCATAGTTCTGAGRACGTGGGATTTTGCTTTTCTAGACGCTCTTCTATTGATTTTCCTGTCATTTTTGCTTCCATTATTTTGTGAGCAGCGCTCGAGATGCAAAGACGCGAGTGAGCGAAAAAAAAAAAAAAAAGCAAAAAAACATCACCAAGCTAACTAACATTTGAGTGGTTTCCCTCGTCTCCAGGTGTTCACATGCCTCGTCTCATTGGCTGGATCGATTATTTTTCTCCTTTCTGATTTGCTTTTAGCCGGCAAAATGAACCACAATGCCCTTTAAAATTATTGTTATAATATAGATATATATACGTAGGATTTCATATTTATCACTAACTTATATTGTTTATGCACRTAGTTATGTTTTATACATTTTTATCATATAGTTAGGATAGTACGCGCGCGCTGATAAGATTGGTCGAAAACTGTGCTTTATTAGTGAACGGAGCATAGCCCGACGCTATCCTCGCACGCGAAGTGCTGCTAGATCTTGCGAGCGTCTTTTTTTGCGTAAAAAATTCATTACCGAAAAAAATATTAGTAGATAATAAAAAGAGTAAATAGAGCATCTGATACGGCTGTGTATTTTTACGAATCACGGATGTATTTAATTATGCAAAGAAATGCTCAAAATCCCTCTAAATTATATCGTACCAGATCGCGAGCTTATCCCGTGCTCCATTTAATGATAAAGCACTCAAGAAGTGTGAGAAGCATTCGCCAACGGCTTGTGTTTTTCTTACACTTCTTTCGTGCTTACGCACTTCCTGAAAGAAAAAAAACCGGCTCTATTTGTTAAATATGGATTTATATTTATTT